CGAGCGGGCTGGGTAAGCTACTGAGAGGTGGGGAAGGCGGGGGCTGGCAAAGAATGCCCCAGCTGTTGCCCAGTTGGCCTGAGGACACCCTCACGTTATCTTTTCAAGAAAATTCCTATTTTGAGATCACTTTACCTGTCCTATAACAAGCTAACAAGCACTTTAACATACATTTTCTCCATCCTATATACCTAGGAAGTAGGGAAAGGCTGAACAGGAATTTTATACCACTGTACAGGTGAAGGAACTGAGCAGAAGGGTCAAGTGACACTGACTTCAGGGTCAGAGGTCAAGGACAACACAATTCCCTAGGCAACCTTGGCTCCTCCTATGATGGGTTTGTACACTGCACCTACCTCAAAGCATTGGGTAAAGGCCATAGAAACTCTAGTTCCTCAAAATTGTTAATACTTACTAAGCAGTGGCTATCTATCTGCTAACAGATTCCCTACTTGTATCACTTGGTTTAAACCTCCACTCAATTGTATCAGGCAGGAATGATTATCATCTCCATTTCCCCACTTGCATCACAGTGCAGGTAAGTGACTCACTGAGATCACATCAGTGGAAAGGCCAAAATTTAAGCCCAATGTGCCCAGAGCACATTGCAGCCCCTGGAGCCAGATAGAGCCCCAGAATGGGGTGGTTTATCTGGAATGTAAAGCATTTCATCCCTATCTCTACCCCTCGGCCCAGAGTTAAGAGCCCTGCAGGACACCATTTATCCAATTATTCAGCGTTACTTCTTGCCCACCCTGTACCAGGCCTGACTCTGTGCTAGGCGCCAGGGATTCAGCAGAGAACAGGCCAGGCTGGGCCCCTGCCCCGACGGACACTGGCAAGGGCTGAAGCAGGCAGGGGGCAGAACAGCGAGGGGCAGAACAGCGAGGGGCAGGACAGCGAGGGGCAGGACAGCGAGGGGCAGGGGGATGGACACCAATGCTCTCCTCTCTCAAGTGTCCCTCCTGCCAGCCACCACTCCGGCTTCAGGAGCCCTGATCTTTAAGACAGGCGGACATCTGCTCCCCATCTTTGCAGTCCTCCACACTGGACAGTGGCCTTGGTTAGCTCCTGTGATAGTCACACAGTCCAGAAGCAAGTGTAAACAAGGAGGCCTCTCTTCCTGCAACCTGGTTTGACAACCTGACTCCAAAGGGGCGCAGGATCTGGACCTGGGCCTCTTTACAACCGTGTTCTTACACCTGCCAGGGCCACTTCTGTTTCAACATCCATTAGCTCAACAAATATTGATTAAGTTCCTACGTGTGGAAAAAAAACCCCAGGGCTGGCATCTGTAAAATACACAGTAAACCAGAGCCTCCAGGACTCAAGACGGAAGAGAAAATAATATTTAACAGCAGAAGCTGCCAATTTGCATATCTTCTACATGAAGGGGCAGGGCGGTGCTCAGCCCCTTTTTTTATAAATAAGGAATTGAAAGACTGACAGAGGTTAAGTGATTTGCCTAAAATCACTTGCCTGAAAGCACAGAGTCCGGATACAACTCAAAGTCTAGGCTCTCTCCAGTCTGCCTGATACCGCCCCCCCATGCACACATACACACAGAAGGGCACGGGAAAGGTCCACAGGAACTAAGGTCAACCCAGAAAGAAAGTTCAAGCCTGCTGCCCCCAGGAAAGGCGGCTTTGGAGCTCAGCCTCAAAGGTCAGGAAGACTATGAAAACCAGTAAACTGCTCTAGTCCACTGAATTTTGTGTCTGAAGCCACGGAAGCCAGCCTCATGAACTCTGCGCTGATGCATTCTTTGGAAAAGGAACAAGCCACGACCCAACTGCCACAGGTTCCTGAGTCATGCCTCCTGCCTGCACAGACTTCTACCTGCATTTCATCTGGCCTCACTGTTCATGGAGGAAGTGTTTCTACCCGGTCATTTAACCCAATCCCTGTACGCCTTAGGGGGTTAGCAGGGCAGGGATGCAGCCCCTTTACAGAGAAAACACAATGGAAGGGCCAGATACCTTAGCCTTCCTGTTCAGTGCTCTATCCACAGCACCTTGAACCATCCATGGCAGAGCTGGTGCTCCAAAAGTATTTGTTGAATGAGCCAAAAAAAAAGCTCAGAGAAGGGAAATGACTTGCCCAAGTCTCAAAGTCATGGTTGCACCGGGGCCAAAAAGGTCTTCTGCCTCCAGCTGCATTGTATCCTCCTTCCCACCCTCACTCCCCCAAGTCACTCATTCTCTTGCCTCCATCTGGAATGGCTGTACTCTGTCCACTTGCCAGCTCTGGTCCCACTCAAGCCCTGCCTCCCAGGGTAAGCAGGAAAGGTGTCAAAAGCAACAAGTTACTTTAAGTCTGATTATCTACACGTAATACCACTTATATCCTGCTGAGAACCAGGTGGAATCTACAGATGAGGAAACTAAGGCCCTTGCAAGGCAAATTCATGGCAGAAAATGAACTCTGGACTAGATTTTCCAAGTCAAGCCCAGGGCCTGTGCCATCCCGCCACCCCCTCCCATCATCCTGCCAAAGCAGGTCTTGGCTCCTGTTGGTTCAGATTCTGGCAGATCTGGGTGCTGGGCTCAGCTTCCTGCCTCCTTCACCAATGAGGCACAAGTGAGGGGAAGCTGCCTGCCGCGAACATGGCTGTTTCCCAGCCCCATCACACCACAGCGTGGGACTCTGGGCTGGTTAACTTCCCCCTCTGCCCCTCAATTCCTCATCCTCATGTGTGCCTGGCTCACAGAGCTGCTGGAGTAACAACTGGAACAATATATGTGACTAGATTAGAGCAATGCCTGGCACGCATCAGCCACTTGCCCAGACAGCTGGGCAAACTGTTGATGTGCCTAGCAGATTACCAAATTTCTCAGATGACCCTGTTCCCACATGGCTGCCCAGAGGCCTGGTACACACCCACACCGCCCAGGCCAGAGTTTTATGAATGTGTGTGTGCATTGTGTGTATATATCCAGAGAGAGAGAGAGAGGGGCTACGTAATTTTTCTTCCCAACTATATTTAATACTTTCATTCATTCATCCATTTAATAATACTGACTACTATTGTGCAGATTTCCTGTTCAGCGCTGAGGAGACAAGAGACTGTTCCCCCCAGAACCTTGGTCCTCCCACAGTCCCTAAGGGGACCTAATTCCTAACACTGTGGCAGTCCTGTGACTCCTGCTCCTCTGTGCGCCCTTCACTACTAGGCACACAGCAGGTCCCCGGTAAACAAGGATTTCCTCCTCTTCTAACTCTCCAGGTCTGATCCCAAGATATCCACCACCCTAATCCTACCACTCTTGTCCAATTTAAAAATCTATTCTCAAGACTTGGCCATGAAATTTTTTAAAAGCCCCTCTGTCTTGCTCCCACGGGAATTTCTCTATTATCCACCACATTCTCTGTCCCTCCAGCGCACCACTGTCCCAGGAAGTAGGCAGGTGAGTGGGGGGCTGCCGCAGCTCTCCCCAGCTCTCCTAGAGGGGGCAGACAGGAAGCCGCAGAGGGGTGTTAGGTAACTGCGGCATTTCGAAAAAGTTAGGTCAAAGCCGGGGGGGACCTTCCAATGCCACATAAGGCTGGACTCAGGAGAAGGCGGCCTGGGTCTCAGGTCGCCTGACTTGGAGGAAGCCCTTTGTGAGCGAGCTTTAAATTACCTCTGCTTGTCTGATGAAGTGAGTGAAAGGGCTCAGGATTCCTGAGTGAGCTAATACAGGATGCCTTCGGCTGGAAAAAAAAACTTCAGTCGGCTCCCTAAACTCCCCCCCTTTTAAGTTTAAAAAAGGGAATGAATGTTACCATTTTTGGACATGATCGTTCTCCCTCAAGCCCAGCCCTAACCGCACTATCCAGAGGGACGCGCCATCCTGTCCCCCCCCATTCCCAGATCAGCGGCGGGGGGGCGGCGATGGGGGGGCGGGGATGGGGGTGGGGCGAGGAGGGACGAAACGAGGAGGGACCGGATGGGAGCGGGCAGCGGAGGAGGAGGGAGAGAGGGGTGCACAGGGTACGTGGCCGCCTGGGGCAAGAGCTCACCGCGCAGGCAGGAAGCAAAGGCACTGTTGGGGCGCCCCCCTCCCCCCACCCAAAGGCTGGTTTCTGACCTCTTCCTGCCACTGGCCACTGTGCCTATGTCCCATCGCCAGCTGCAAGGGGGCGGAGTGCGCACCCGATACAAGGAGCCTGGGACGCGGCTCCGGTGGCTAAGCAGGGATCCCCAGTGACTGACCCTAACTACCCCCGGGAAAAATCCTCTGCCCTGGAGCCCCTCAACTCAAATCAAGTTGCCCAAATTCGCTTCCTCCCATAATGAGCAGGGGTTGGCGGGGCAGGACGCAGCCTCAAGCCCACCTCTGCTCGCGGCGACCAACCCACTGAGTTAAGCAATTCAAACGTCTGCCGTCCTGATCCCGCCCCCACAGGGCCCGCTGGGGAGCCCACTTACACCCCTGCCTTTGCTTGGCCCCAACCCCACTCCAGCAGGTCCACCTCCAGGCAGACCCGTAGGCGGCTTCCAATCCCTCCGGCGCCCCTCTTCCTCTCGGTCTGCGGGCTGGGGCTGGGAGGTGCAGAGTCCCGTGCAGCTTGTCCCCTACAGGTACCCAGCCCGGGACGGCCCAGGAAGCGTGCTGCCACCGCACGCCATATGGAGAGGCGGCCAGGGGGCGGGGAAGGGAAGGGAAAATCGATCCGGAGGAGCAGTCACCGAGTCGGGGTCTCAGCCTCAGCCTCCCAAGCACCGCCCCCACGCCCTGCCCACGCGGGGATGGTGCGGAGGCAGCTGGGCAACCTAAATCACTGGCCCCCAGGCGACCTGCCTACCGGCGGCCCCACTTCCCTCTTCGCAGGCTCTGGGGCAGGGGCGCTCCCCCTTCCGCCCCGCGCCTGTAACCCAACACCCCACCTAGCAGCGGCAGCGCAGCCCCCGCCCCCGCTCGTGCGCGCCAGGAACCGGTTCCCAGCCCCGAGCCGCTAGCGCGGCGGGCAGAGCGGGCCGGGGCGGGGGGCTGCGGCGGGCTGGGGTGGCTGCTGACCTTTCTCTGCTGCTTCTCCCAGGCCGGGTCTAGGAGCAGGTCTCGATCCCAGTCCTCTTCGGGCTGCATGTAGTCGTTGGTTTGCTGGGAATCATAATGGTCCATGATGGTGCGCGCGTGCTAGGACTGGATCTCTTCCTCCACCTTCTCTCCCAGCAGCGGCGGCGGCTGCTGCTGCTGCCCCGGCGTGGGGAGGGAGTCGGGCCGGGCTGGGCTGGGCTGGCGGGGCCGGGCTAGCTCCCCTGCGCCCAGTTCCGCCGCGGCGCTGCTCGCGAAGTCTGCTGCTGGCGGCGGTATTGGCAGCAGCTGCTAGAGCTCGCGAACTGCCTGCCTTCGGGCGGGCGCTTGGACCTAATCTCCACGCACACTGAGCCCGGCAGATACACTAGCGCTGCGGGAGCAAGGCAGGCAGGGGCGGGGGTAAGGGGCAGAGCCCTCCCTAGGTTCTCCATTGGCCAGGCCGAGTTGCCCAAACTTCCCCCCATCGCCTCTCATTGGGAATTCCTGGCATCCGTCAGCTGGGCCTTGGCGCATATAGGTGGACTGGGCGGCCCCTTCCCGGCGCGCACGCCCCCGCCCACTCCCGGGGTTCCCACTCCCCTGCGGCTCATGTGACACCACCTTGAGCTGAACGGGACAGAAGCCGGGGGACGCCTCCCAGAGCTCAGGGACCGAGGGGCAGCGCGCTCCAGAGCTCCAGGAGCCTCCGGGGATTGGTCACACTCCCCGTCCGCCGGAAGGCCCCAAACTCGGGGGCACCCGCGTTATTGTGCTCCCACGCGCGCTCCAAACCCAGGTGACCAGGGACTGGAAAAGGGCAGTGAGAAAACCCAAATAATATTTCATTTTCTCTTTCCCAGGGTTCGTGGAGGTGGGCACCCAAGGAAAGGGGCGGGGAATGCGGGAATGGAAAGGAATTTCCTGGGAATTTCCTGACTCCACCGCCCCCACCCCGCGCCCCGCCCCGCCCCGCCCCACCCCGCCCCGCCGGATCCGCCTGACCTGTGTCCTTCGGGAGCCAGGTTTCGCGCCAGGCAAGTGAACTTAGAGACCACGCAGTTTTCCCGCCTCGCTACAGAGTCCTTTCCCGCCCGTTGGGCTCAGGACACCGCTAAGCCGCCGGGCTTCCTGCATGGCAACTGCCTCTCCCAGCTTCCTGGGATCCCCGGCCAGCCCTCGCGGGCTGGCGTGCCCGGAGACACCCTCATACACATCCCGGCCGCCTCCTAAAAAACGGAGGGAGGGCCCTGACTGATGTACCTACTGCACTTCTCCTGCCTCCGCCCAACACGCACACCTGGCAGATGGGGAAACTGAGGCTCCTAGAGGTGAGCTTGAAAAGGAATTTAGCAAGTTCTCAGGACTCCGCAGACCAACACTGTAACCTTATGCCAACGACAAACAAAAGTTTATTATTATTGGAGGAGGAAGAAGGACACCACTGACTAAACGCCTCTAACTTCTTAGAGCCTGCCTGGGCTTCTTTCCTGGGGCCTGGTAAGAAGAGGGTCTAAACACCTGCCTAACTATGATAGACACCTAGGAGAGGCAGGCGGTCGCACCCTGGTGGGCTCCTGAGGGGCCCCAGGACAAAGAACAGCAGCAAGTAGACCTCCAAAAGCTTATGCACATAATAGTGCTTAATTTCTATTTATGGCCCCGAAGGATGACTGAGTCAACTGCAAAAACGCAATGGTGACAGTCCAGAGGTGAGTAAAGGCGGCAGAGGAAAAAGTTCACTGAGAGGAAGAGCTATGAATTAGAATACTTGAAAGGCCTCAGATAGAAAAGGTGAAGAAAGTGCTTCTGACTCTCAGAGCCAGCTGATGCTATTGTAAGCAGATATCAATGGTGGTGGTGCTCCCTGCATCGTTCGGGGATCTCACATGCTGAGGCAAGTGTTACCCGTCAGCACTATGCTTGCCACTAGTCCGTGACTGAGAAAGAACTTCTTCTGAGCCACAGAGACAGCAGATTTATGGACTGTTTTATAGCTGCTCCTAAACGATGGCTCCAAACCTACATAGAGGGTAAGGATGCTGCTGTATCCATTTATTCACTCAATAAATATTTGCTGACAATAAATATTCATGTCAAAGGAGGTGGTAGATGTTATAGAGAGATGAAAAAGACACAATCCCTGCCCCTATGCAGCCCAGCAGAGACAGACCCAGAAACAAAAATCATGAGACAGATACAAGAAGATAGATCTAACTGGAGGTGAGGGGGGAGTCGGGGGGGGGGCACAGAGCCCCACATGGGAAAGGAGGCTTCTGGTGTAACTTTTTGGAGGAGGTAAAATTCAAGTGAGCCTTTAATAACAAGAGTCAGTGTGGGAGGTTATTCCAGGCAGAAGGAACAGTGTGAGCTAATACATGGGGGCAGGAAGCTGCATGGTGTAAAAAGAATGCCTACCATTTCAGTGTGGCTAGACGAGAAATTCAAGTCCGAGAGGGGCGAGAGACGGGACTGGAGAGGAGGGCAGCGGCCAGACCACGTGGCCTGCTGTGCCACGGGAAGTGTGGATCGGAGGGGAACAAGGCTGGCTGGAAGCTGGGACAATCGGTTGCAAAGCTGTTGCAATAATCCAGATAGAAAATAGTCTGTTTGGGCTGCAATAACAATACCATGGACTGGGTGGTTTAAACGATGAACATTTATTTATTACAATTTTGGAGGCTGGGAAGTCCAAGATCAGATGCAGTGTCTGGTGGGAGTCTGCTTCCTGGTTCATAGATGGTCATCTTCTCTCTCTGTCCCCATGTGGCAGAAGGGGCAGGGATCTCTCTGGAGGCTTCTTATAAGGGCACTAATCCCATTCATGAGGGCTCTGCTCTTACAGCCTATTCACTCTTCTAATACCATCACATTGGCGGTTAGGATTTCAACATATGAATTTGAGGGGGGAACAGTGGATAGACTTAGGAGATAAAGCTGAGAAGCCTAGGAGTTTGGGTGTGAGGATGAGAGAGAGGAGTCTTTGTTGCTCTCAACAAATGTCCAATATGGACAGACCATGCGCTTTACGTATATTGCCTTATTTAAGCTCCAGCCACAAGATGAGAATTATCTCAATCTTACGGAGAAAACCAAGTCTCCAAGAGGTAGCCAACTAGTCCAAAGTTACACAGGTATATGTGGCTTCTAAACCAATGCTTTTAACCCAGTGGTTCTCAACCTTGGGATAGTTTGACACCTCCCTCCCAGGGGATATTTGGCAATGTGTGGGGGACATTTTTGGTTGTCTCAACTGGTAGGTTACTGTTAGCATCCAGTGGAATGAAACCAGGGATGCTGCTAAACATCCTACAGCAGACAAGACATTCTCCCCACAAGAAAGAATGATCTGCCCCAAAATATCAACAGTGCTGGGGTTGAGAACCTCTGCTTTAACCACGGGTTTCCAGCCTGGGTGATCTGGTGAGTGGTGGAAATACAACCAATTGAGATAAAGAATTTGAGGTGTGGAAGCGCAATCATGGATTGAGTTTGAACGCATTGAACTTGAAGTGCTCTGAGAATGTCCAGCTTCAGCTCTCCAGAAGGAAGTTGACTGCATAATCCCAACCTCAGGGGAAACATATTTGAGAGTCACCTGCATATGGATAGTAGTGACACCATGAGACCATCTGCAAGCAATGCCTGAGTGGAGTTGAGAAGAAAACCAAGGACAGAACCGAAGAGATCAGTACTTAAATGGGGAGTGGGAGAAACCAGAACCCCTGAGGGAGGCAGAGAAGGAATGGTCGGTGGACCCTGGAGAATCTGCACCACATGGTGTGAAAGTCAAAGGAGAGAACCTTCAAAGTGAGAGGAATCAGCTACATCAGAAAAGTCTGGAAAGTAAAGCTTAAAAAGTGTTCTTTGGATGTGGCAGTTGGAAATTCCTGGGTGACCTTTGCCTGTGGAATTTTAGCGACATGGCCCAAGGTGTGAATTTACGAGCCGCTAGGAGCTGAATAAATGGAGACAGTGAACCTAGAAGGGAAAAAGAAATATTGGGCAATAGCTAGAAGGGGAACTGGGGTCAAAGGAGAAATTTTTTAAGAATAGAAGAAATGAGATACTCGTAGTCTGAGAGGAAGAATTCAGTTGAGAGGAAAGACTTGGAAATGTAAGCAAAAGAAAGTTGAGGGATGGCAGTTCTCCAGCAGACAGGACCATGTGGGTTCAAGGAGGCAGGCTAAAGCCTGGGCTAGGGAGAAGAGGAAGACCCCTCATGTTCTGAAAGAGGGGAGGGGAAGGAAGGATGAGCAAGTATGTCCGCATGTATGTGGGAAGAGGGTAAGAGAGTGGTTTGAACCAATAACTGACGAGCTTGTCTCTTCAGTAAGGAGGAGGCCCTGAGGGATGGACCAGAGCTGAAGGATTGGCCAACCTTTCTATCCAGGACTCATGGGTGGCCATCCCACTGATGGTATTAGTCCCATTTAGCACCACCTTCCAGAGAGAAAAGAGAGTTACTAAATGTGTTGATTTCTTAGGGATACTAAGGTATATGCATATTTTTAACATCCATTTTTTAAAAAATTGGAGTATAACAGTAAAATGCATGAATCAAGTGCACTGATCTTAAGCATACAGCTCAGTGAAATTTTACATGTCTACATTCATGTGAAACATTTCCAGCACATCCGGTTTTCTTGTGTTCCTTCCCAATCTATACTCCCAGTCCACATAGGAAATCACTATTCTGACTTATCACCAATGATTATTTTCACTTATTTTTTAACTCAATATAAGTGGAATTATACAGTACGTATACTTTGGTTTCAGGATTTTTACTCAATTTAATGTCTATGAATTTGTTCATGTTGTGGCTTGTATTAGTAGCTAATTTTTTGTTTGTCTATTTAGGGATTGTTTTTTTCCCTAAATGGGTAAGTATATCCTAAGTAATTTATCCACTCTCCTGTTGATAGGTATTTTCTCATTGTTGCCAGTTTGGAGCTACTATGAGTAAGGCTGCCATGAACATTTTATGTGTTTTCCTAGTGAACATACGCATTCATTCCTAGTGGGTATATACCTAGGAATGGGATTGTTGGGTCTGATGGTAGGCATGTTTCATTTTCGTATGTATTGCCAAAGAGTTTTTCAAATTGGCTGTAACAACTTACTTTCCAAGCAGCTGGGTGTAAAAATTTCAGTTACTCTACACTCTCCCACCATCAATTGACAATTTTTTAAAAAAAATTTTAGCCAATAGGCCTAGCTGAGTAGCTCAGCTGGTTAGAGTATCATCCTGATATGCCAAGATCGTGAGTTTGATCCCCTGTCGGGGCACATACAAGAGTCAACCAATGAATGAATAAATGAGTGGCACAACAAATCAATGTTTCTCTCTCTTTCTCTCCCTTCCTCTCTCTTTCTTGAAAAAAAAAAAAAGCCATTA